TATGTGCAGTATTCAAAGTAAATTGTACGTCTGGTTCACGTAAATGAAAAATGTCTACTTGTAACATCAAAAGCCAATGGTGCATAATCCTTATTGGTTATACATTTTGTAGCAAATAATGCTCAACGGTATCAATCCGATTGTTCTTCCCTTTTGTTCTCTATTTTGCAATGTGCTAGTTTAGATGATTTATTTGTAAACACATGTTACAACTTTTGTTTACCTTTTTGAACGGAGCGAAGCTCTTATACTACACTCCTGCTTTAGTTTTACAAATACTCCTCATGAACGGCTGAAGCGATCTGCATGAAATTTAGCACAGTCATAGTACCCAACCACGGGAAGGTATAAATCTGAAATGGAACAAATCGGACCACGGGGGTTTTCCCTATGTGAATTTAAACTTTTAGAAATTTAACATGGGCCTTATGGGTTAAGTGGATGTCATGACAGTATTTGCAAGATAACAATAAAAAGGTATTATTCCCCTAAAATGAAAGTCTCCTGCACAACTTCACGTTACGCTCTTTCCAATGAGACCAAAAACATGTCAATCGGTTCAGTAGTTTCGGAGGAGTAATTGTCACAAAAATCCTGCTTGCGTATTAAATAAGTACTAGTGTCCCTCTTGCTCGAATTCGAGCAATTGCTAAGTATTACAGGCGTTATTTTAAAACGAATAACATTCATAATTTCTGATGACTTTAAAAGATTCGACTCAAAGATTATGGAAATACTCAATATGTACATAACAGGTCGATATAATCAACATTTCTTGTAAATATCTTATCATTTTTCAAAAGATGATCTTGTTTTTTAGAGTTTTCTACAAATAGACTTACTCATAGCCGCATTAGGTTGTCTATAATAACGATTATAAACGAAAAAAAAACATTATTTCTATTTCTACTCCTTGGTGGTGTTTTACTACTTTCCTATGTTTACATAGTTTGCAAATCGACTCTAGATATTTCATTTCAACAAAGTCAGTAAATGTTTGTAGTAAACTGTTAAATTAGCAAACTTATTGACTGTTTTCAATTCACATATTTTCTTTTTCTCACTTTTAATTTCTGACAACAGTTGGAGTTGCATAACAATGTCAACAAAACACACCCTACATGAGCATGGTGGTTTTTTGTGTTTATTACCATGTTAATCTTATGGAGAAATACGAAACTTTAAAGGGCTCCAGGGCCTCACTCTCTAATTATTTCCCTAAAAGAAAGTTTCCTGCACAACTTCACGTTACGGTCTTTCCAATGACACCAAAAACATGTCAATCGGTTCAGTAGTTTCTGAGGAGTAATTGTCACAAAAAACCTGCTTGCGTATTAAATAAGTATAGATATATGGATTTGCTTATGTTAAATTTATTATTTTAAGAGCAACCATCACTTAATTTGAAGACGATAATTAAATAATAAATAATAATTAGTTGATTTGGAATTAGGTAGCTGGTGCCCATTCTACGTACGGGAATCTTAGTAGAAATTTCTTAAATTCAGAACAGGAGTTGGTTTCCATATTTAGTGTGCACTTTTCCAGATATGCTGGGAAAACTATTACTGTATAGGAATACATATGAACCTTCGCAAATACAATATCTGACAGTTTCAAGCCAAAACGAATGCTTCGCAATTAAATGTTACCCAATCTTGTTAGTCCATATTTTATATCTAATGAAGGAAGCAAAGGAACTGCTTTATAGATCTACTAGCAACAGTGCCCGTTATGGTTAAACACAACGGTCTCTAGTAAAATAATGGTTATGAAATCCATACACCACTTTACTCACTAATATTAACTAGTGCACATGTTGCTCGAATTCGAGCAATTGCAAAGTAATACAGGAGTTATTTCAAAACGAATAACAGTCATATTTAAAATGAGTTTAAAAGAGTCAACTCAAAGATTATCAACGTGTAACAAAAAAGCTATTCACGATTTATATAACATTTATCAACGTTTCCTGTAAATATTGCATCATATTTCATACCCTGGAGTTGCTTTTTAATGTTTTCGACAATCATTTCTTGACTTATAGCACAGAAAACATACTAATATTTTCTGTGTAAATAGCCATATAAGGTTGTCCATGTTTATCTTTGTTATTGATAAACCTAAAGCATTACGGCCGGTTTTCTCCTTCTCAAAATGCCTCGCTGTACAGGCAACACAGGTCATTGATAGGGGATCAATTGAGAACGAAAAGTCGTTTTGGGGCGCATTTGTAACCTAATAGTTGAGATTGTCCAGGGTCAGGTGCTGACTGTGATGAGTTAAGCCTTTTACGCGCCACTGTTCTGTAGCTGCGGTCGTTATCACGATTACGCCTCCTGTCTATGTTTCGTTGTCGTCGCGTCGGTGGCATTTAAAAGATAAAAAACAACAAATAAACAAATTATAGCTACACAAAACAACGATAAATGCAAAAGTTTTAGTTACAATCATGCTAACCCGATCCTTCATAGCGACACACAAAAAAACAACGATAAATACACAAATTTAAGATACAACCTTTGACTATTAATACAACAACATACAACCATACTAACACGATCCGTCTTATGGGTTATGTTTACACAGACTCAAATAGTAAATAAATGAACTCAATGCGTTTCATTGAATTGAAAAATAAATAACAGCAATTAAATTATACAGCTGATCAAAATGTAAACAATTATGTTCTTCATAAGGATAACATGGGAACTTTCAAAGCCACTGGGGCAGAGCCCAAGGGTCTTTTAAAAAAATGTAAGGCCAGTTTGCAAATCTACGCGACACGATCTTTTCAATGAGACGTCAATGGATAAAATCGGTTAAGAAATGGCGGAGGAGTTCAACCGACAAAGTTTCATGTAGCGTATTAATTATATAGATGGTACAGTTTAAGCACATAACATTAGAATGTTTAGAATGTAGAAAATTTAATCAAAGAAAAATTAATTAGATAACAATAAGCTGTTGAATTATTAACACATGTTTCGTATGATTAGATTATAGATACTGGTAAACCAATTATTACCATCTATAAAAATAATTGGTTTTTCTTTTCCGAGTCGGGTTAGCTCTTCTACCCGACCGATTTTCATAATTTTGGCCAACTAAGGACGTACCGCAGATTTATTTGAGCTACTGTATTGTTTATTGAGATCGGACTACCTAAAGCACACTGCTGAATCACGAATCAACGATAATTACCTATCTGCAATCAATGATACGTAACTCTATTTTTATTTAAGTTATTTTATACCTTAATATAATATAATATAATATAATATAATAAGGTATGTCTTAAAATACTTCAAAAGCTTTCACTTGAGATATTGATAGTTTTAATCAATTAAGTTCAAGATACTGTATCGCTCAATCATAAAGTATAAATTGCATTATATCTTGGATATGGAATTTAGTTTTAAATATATTTAATTAATTCTAACTACGTTATTCTATTTGTTTTGACCTAAGAACCTTCATTGAAATACCACTCCCATTTCATTAAAGCACACAGCTAAATCACGACCAACACAAATTGTTCAAAAAATTGAGTTCTTTATCATCGATTTATATCCAAACTATCTTGCTTGCAACCTCAACAGTACTTTCATAATTATTTGCAAATACAGCGAGCGTTTCAGGGCAGGAATTGGACTAGCCTACTGCGCATGCGCCAGAAAGAACCAACTCAGTTGTATTTGGTCTTCAACGAGTCGACTCATGAGTCATAACTTACTAGTTCAGTTCAGTTTCAGTTCTGCTAGTGGTTCTGCTCGTTCTGCTGTTAGCTACCTCCGCGAAGAATGACGATTGATTGACGACTTGAGTCAGTCGTCTCTGTCACCCCATCATCCGTTGCATCCCTATCGTCCATTTTAAGTGCATATTCGGTACTTTAATACTGACTATGGGAATGGACTAAAAATTGAGTTTTCCCATTTGTTACCCTAAAATCATAGTTTTTTGTATTTTTCAAGTTATTTTGTGGTACTTGGCAAAATTAATAATTTAAACTTAATATGTTCAGAATATACCATTAATATTCCAGATTACTTTTCCAGAATATTCTGAGAATGTTCTCCAGATTTCTAGGCTATATAAAAATTTTCTTAGAATATTTTTGTTGAGTGATCTGAGTATATTCAAGGAAATTGCCTGGGATGTTGAGAATGATCTCAAACATTTTGGAAAATTCCAGGAAATCCTATTATTTTTCATGTTGTATTTAAATGTTATACGGTATATACAAGTGAGTTAACAAATTTTTAGATTTTCTTGAATTTGATGTTGGCAGATATTGATTGCAGTCCATGCCCTGGAATTTGAGGAGCAGAATCATTGCAATTATAAAATAAATTGAAATACCATCCAGAGAAAATATAGGAAATAAGGTCAACACTTGATATTTGGTATCAAATTAAACTTACCAAATTTAAAATAAGAGTTTTAGGAATTTTTTACATACTTTTACATTTCAACCTCCTTTGTTTGAATAATCTTTATGTTAGTCTGGAATTTTCAGATTTTATTTTAGTTCCTTTATACATTTAAACAGACCAATGCATCTGCAACGACGCATGCAACTTAACGATTGCAATACAAAAACACCAATAAATAATAACAATGGTATATAAAAAGCTGTTGTGTTTACTATTTTATATTAAAGTGCATAAAGGCCATGCTGCAGGATTCATGACGTCACACTAGTGGATGGATTTCATTGATAAATTCATTGCCATCACCATCCCCATACGTTTTAGGTAAATAAACAAGCTGGCTGTTTGTAAGATTTTAGTACAACTATCCACCACTGTGACGTAGTGTTGCGCTGCCCGTGCTGCAGCATGGCCTGTTTTTTCTAGTGGGGCCTTCATATTATGCAAATATTGATTACATCAGAACTTATGTTTAGAAACAAAGTAAAAAATAAAAGAAGTATAAAAAAATTATTACAGCTGGAAATAGTGGCATTAAATGATCATTCAATTTTAATAGTTTATGTAGAACATTTATTTTAAAAACATATAAAGTAAATCATAAACAGTGGTAATTTATCACAACAGTCCGTACTATTACACCTCACACTAATAACAAAACATGTTTAAGTCTTCAATCAGTTCACCAGCACCTCAATCAATGACTCTGTAACAAAAAAACTGTGTTTTAGGTTTAATTTAATAAACTTGGGCAACACATTCAATGTGAAGCCTACAGCGTAGTTCACACCAGTAAACATATTGTATGTGGTACTATGGGGTTAATGCATGAAGTTTTGGCTGTTATTTTTTTATTCGTGTAACTATAACATAGTAAAATATACAGTACAATGGACTCCCTCTTATCCAGACTCTCGGGACCGCCCATGTAGCACAGATGGTTGGGCCAACGTTGGCCAACTGTGGGACAGTTGGTCGATGGTTGGTTGGAGCTTCCACAACCAACCAACCGTTGTCCAACTGTATATCTCGTAGTTGGGCCAACCAATATTTACAACTGTGGACCAACATTGGTTCATTGTTAATGAAATACATTAATATGCATTGCTGGGTATCATACATCAAGCCAACCGTTGTCCAACAGTTTTTCACTCCGTTGGACCAACAAAAGATACTTTTGTTGGACCAACAATGGTCCATAGTTGAGTTTACACGACTTTCATTCTCTGGGTCTAGCTTTCACAACATAATTATAATAAAATATCTGGTTTTACAATACCTTTATCAGTTCCAAAAGTTTCCAAAAGTTTTTGGAACTGATAAAGGTATTGTAAAACCAGATATTTTATATATTACAGTTCCGGCGCAACAACAATGAATTTTAATAATTTTAATAATGCAAATATTTTTTAAATTAATATTCTTTAACTTATTTGCAACAATTTAAGGGGACAGAGTAATTAATCATATAACAGGCAATTATAATAGCATTAACAATCTAACGGTAATTAATTAATCATTCAAATACCAGTATCCTCTCTAACTCCAAAAAAAAAACTTCTTATGATGCCTTAACAGATTAACAGAATCATATTATACTGTGTAGTATCAAAAATGTTTGAAGTATTGCGACCATTGCAACTGTCGGCTACTCTTTCACCACTTGAAAACTCTCTATATCAGCAATCACAGATAGCTCAGTGGTAAAGTAAGAGGCTCATAAGTCGAAGGACCCGGGTTCGAGACCCGTCTGGGCCAAAAAAATTTTGTTCTAGTTTTTTTCAAAATTTGTTTTTATGAACTATTTAATCAATTTACTCAACTAATAATTATGCTTTTCGTACTAAATCTTTATTATTTTGTGTGAAATAAAACGGTTGGACAATGGTTGGCTGGAAAACAGTTTAAAGAGGTGACATTTCTACCGTTGGCCAACTGTGTGGCTCCACAATTTACCAACGTTGGCCCAACCATCTGTGCTACATGGGCGAGGTCAGTGCGGATAATGGATTTTCTGGTTAACTGATGTCCCACAAACTCATAAAAACTGACCGTTTAAATGCATACTGTATATACAGTATTTGACTAAAATGTAGTAGAGCATTTTATTTAGACTAGTAATCACTGTTCTCATATCCTTAACACAAGAACAGTCGTTTCAGTAACGCTTACCTCCCACTTCCTGCCGACCTAGTCCGGTTAAACCGATGTGCTGATAAAAATTGCCCGGTTAAAGAGATGTAATTTCCACCGAGTGTTGTCTGGTTTAACCGATGTCAGGTTAAAAGGTGTCCGAATAAGAGGGAGTCTACTGTACCTTATCATGGCTATTAAACATGGTAATAATGTTCCCTAATATGCAGCAAGGAAAATCAATTTTACTTAGCCTAAATACAAAGTGAAGAAGACTGATTCTGAAAATTACATTGCACTGCAACAGCAATGTTATGGGGTAAAGTTCTGCAGAGAAACCTTAATGTATTATTCTATCCTATCAAATTTTCAATTTCTATAAATTAATAGGCCTACTGACAATAGCTTCAAATTTATATAAAATAAATTGATTAAGAAATAGGCCTGCTTATTAATCTGTTAGGCTATGGGTCTTTTTAAAAAGAGGACCACCCGCCAATCTTTTACAGACCATTGCGGCGTTTAGGTTATGTTAGCTTATAGGCCTACCACATAGAAAAAAACCACGCACCTGTTTGAGTCGTGCATGCAGGAGAGTCAGAGTGGGGGGAAAGACACCTCGCCCCAACGACTTATCCCCACCACTGCTCCAGGCCCTTCCCCACCATCACCCTTCACCTCTACGTGCGCGAGACAGCCATGGTTCTGTGCAGGTTCTTTTGAAAGTGGTAGGCCTATTGTTTATAAACAAACAAGGTATCATTAACAAAATTTTTAGCTTTTTTCTATAAGCTAAGTTACTCATGAAAAGACACGACTAGGTATAATTTGGCGCTTTTGACAATAAGTTTTGATAGAAAACACTAACCCAACCCAATGATGATGCTATTGGAACAATTTGTATTTATTTAGGTGTTACCTGGTTTTTATTAACATAAACTAAACCAAACTGAACTAACCTTGTTTAACTACCACAGCACAGTGTGAAAGTCTATTTGAAAAGACTCTATGGCTTTAAATATTTATATCACGATACCTTTAATACTCAAAACAAAAATCGGAATTTATATCGCAGGGAATAATATAAAGTACGATTTGTATAACAAACTGATATTTCACCCAATATATATTGAAGGTACTGATATTGCAGGTTCTCTAAAGGACTTTACTGCAGTTCCTAATAGCCTACATTGTTTATAGTAGAACATTCTAGCATAAAATGAAGACTGTGAATGTATTGTTACATCAAAATTACCCCAACTAAAGAAAGAATTGTAGGCCTAGTTATTTTGATCTTTATAATAATAAAGACCATAACAACCTGTAGGCCTATAGTGATTTTTACATCACTAAGTAGAGGCACAGAAAACATACTACTATAACCCAGAATGCCAACCGCATGGTAAAAAGCATTAAGTGTTTTGAGAGAGCTTTGCCTGTCAATCGTAGGCAGCGCCACCAGCGTTGGTGGCGCTGCCTACGATTGACTGGCAAAGCTTTCTCTAAACACTTAATGCTTTTTACCATGCGGTTGGCATTCTGGGTTATAGTAGTACGTTTTCTGTGGTAGAGGGCAGATTGTTTATTCCTAAAAGTAGGTAACGGCACAACAGGTTTTGGGCGCTACAAATAACTAGCCTACAATTTAATAGTTTTTAAACTTAACGTTTATTTTTCTGTCGTTGGAGTTTCAAATAGCATGTTTCTCATGGCCATGTTACTCTAAATAATTTCAAACAAACCGCCATTTAAATTAAACAAACGATGTTTTAATATTCTGACTATTACAACAGCACGAGGAAATGCCTCTTTCAAAAGGTTACAGCATTCTAAGTTATTAAGTTAGAGCCTATATGTGTGTATGAGTAGCCTTTATAAAGGCTAGGTATAATGTAAAGAATGGGTAGCCTACTTTCCTGTTAAAGGGAACATTCATTATTATATATAATTTAATTTCAAATATCGAAATGTTATTTTTCTGTCCGTTGAACAGCCATTCCCCATGCCTTTTCTGTTATTAAACGGAATTTTGAAACGGTAACATAGCCTATACAGCAAGTTTGGTTAGTTATGTTATAGTTTCTAGTTTAGCTTAGTTTGATTTTATAATCCAATAAAATAGGCAATAAATGTTAACCTAAACAAGGTCCGGCCTACTTCTTAATTAGTAGATAATTTAAATGCGTTTGAAGATAACAGAAGGAATAAGTTACGGATTGTGAAGTAAGTTAAAACAAAAATATTGATAAGCTTATATCGAAAAGTAATCATCGATAATAGTGAATGTTCCCTTTAACAGGAAACTGCCAAAGAATGAGAGACCCAATATAATATAGTAACCTAGTAGGGTACTATAGTGTAGGCCTATCTATCGATAGCGGAACCTAGCCTTGCCCTACGCCAGGGTAATGCAAAGCCTAGCCAAGTTATTTTAATGTTAGTTAGTTAGCCTACACATTTAATTGGCTTAAGGACCATATTTAGTCTACGGCATAGACTTTTTTCCAAACAGTTAATGGTTTACAGGCTATAGGTTTAAATGTGTCAACCTTTAACCTAAAGATTAGGCCTTTATACAACTCACCCAAGGGTTTCTAATATGAAAGTTACACCGCTTGGTAACTTATTTTGTAAGTGCCTTTTACCACACAGCCTAGACAGTTCTTCAATCGCTGGGGCAACCGGGCAAACAGATGTCGATGACAGAACAACAGTAAACAACTCTTTTGCTTCAATTGTGTGAGAGTCGTTCATTTGAGATCAGCTCAATTTTACGGTTTGCGCATGCGCAGTAGGCTAGTCCAATTCCTGCCCTGAAACGCTCGCGCAAATACAGTGTATTCACAAATTAGGTTATCCAATGACCTATTAATTAATAAAATCGGTTCAGTAGAACTGTAGATTTAATTGTACAAAGCTTAAGAACAACATCTTTAATTCAGTATTTTCTCACTACTATACATTTGGAGGTTGCTTAACGTTTTTGCAAATAACTTTGAAATGGCGAGGAAATCGACCAAAGTGGAGCGTGATATTCTGAAAGAGAATAACATTTCCTACAAATTACCATTATGTATTTCTTGAAATTACAAGAAATACATACTGTTTCATTAAAAAGTAGTGTAAAATTATACATATTGTCATATTTGATAGATAGATTGGCATTAATTTGGCTTGTTACGTATACAGACAAATTAATATTTACGTAACAAACAATTTACAGTATTTATTTTGCTTTTTGGAAATGCCACATTGCTATTTTATTTGCATCATTTGTTGCAAAAGAAGCCACATGACCATATAAACGAGTAAGCCCCTAACATTACGTAGAGAGATTAATTGACAACTTTATGTAGCCTATGTATAAGGCTGAGACAACTAACTGACATCCCCCATGTCAATGAATTTTAGCTTTAACAGTAACCCCACAACCAATTTCTCAAAACTATGATAGAGGGTTATTCATTTGCACAGAAGTACATATGTACGATATGAACTGACGCGACAAGACGAAGGAAAAATCAAAAACGGATATACATCCCTTTGAAGTTACAACGTGCCTTCTCAACAAACAGATATTTTTTCTTATATAAAATCATAGATTAATCTGCTTTACACTGGTAAAATAGCGGACATATAGAAATCACTACTAAAAAATTATAAAAATTTAGCATTTTTTTTTTAAACCAGAGCAGGTAAAGTGTTTAACTGCAAAAGATCCACCAATACGATTTCAATAAACCCTGCTATAGTAGTGTGCTGCTCCTAGTATATCGAGCTCTAAATATTTGCGTTACCAACGGAAGCGCAAACAATGGCATTGTTTCCTATTGTACAAGCCTTCGAGCGCCCGGTTGGCGGTTTTTTGCTGTGTCTGTATACTCACTACTGCTTGATTTCATCGCAGAGGCGCAGTGTGCGTGATGTTAAGCGTCACAAAAATGCAAATACCCCATTTATATTATTGAGCGAAGCACTTATAATTTTGTGCTTATTTTTGTATTTTAATTTATAAAGGCATTCTGCACATCCACAGGAAACTATCTTTCTAACAGTATGCGTAGATTTTCCCTGCGATGCACATAAGCTGAGATAAAAGGTTTTAAAGCATACTAGCTGTTACCCACGGGCTTCACCCACCCCGTTTTAATTCATAAGTATTAATAAAATTATTGATTGGTTAAGTTAAACTTGAATAAACAAAACAGAATACAGAAATACAAACAAATAATTACACCTGATTTTAATAAGGAAATACATTGAAAGAATAACATACAAATAAGGACAGCTGAGGTTTTTTTTAACATTATGTATAAGGAAAGTTCCCTTTGGAAAGAAATTACGATCTTAAAGGGTGATTTATGAAATAATGGATAGTTTTGCGCAAGGTTTTTCTCGTCATGACGAACATTTTATGTTTATGGTTTATGGGGGTGTGACTTGTAGTTTTCTCAAAAGTTCATGGGTACTTTTGGCTTTATATATAGATTTCTGCTTGCCTATTAATATATAGATTCACTTAGATCAAGCATCTGCAGTTGTTCGCATTTCACGGATTGTGGCCCATTCTGTAAGTAACAGCTGTGTTTAAGTCGTATACATAAAGTTGGGCATACTTTGGTTCAATGTTAGCGGTGGGGCACACGGAAGATTTCTCAGGTGCCGTTTGACGTCACTAACTGCTGACGTCACTAACTGCTGCGTCTGAAGAAACAGACAATTTTATAATTTTCTATTATTAAATTAAACTGTCATAACCTAACCAAACGTGCTGATAATGGAAAAATCGAATAAAGGTTTACTAATCTAAAAAATAGTTTTGTTCATAAAATAAAATTATAATTGCCTAAAATTCAATTTTATAATTCTTTAATTATAAAATTAAACTGTCATAACCTAACCAAACCAACCAAACTTGCTGATATGAAAAAATTGTTGATAAAAAGTTAGTGCCGTCGGCGGGATTCGAACCCGGCACATTCGGATTATTAGACCGCAACGCTATCCACTGCACCACCGAGGCCGATGGCCCAATCCGTATCGTTGCGGTATTGGTGTTCCCTCAAAGTGACGTCAGCAGTTAGTGACGTCAAACGGCACCTGAGAAATCTTCCGTGTGCCGTTTCGCAATGCTAGAGGGTATTAACGGTCCAATCAGATAGTAGTATGTTTTCTGTGCCGATGGTAAAAGTAGTCCGAGTACTTAAAGTTATATAGACTAACTGAATGATGTCGATTCATTTTGACACATCGTTTTTAAAAATCCATCCATTATTAACGGAGGAGTGGTGTTTCGTAGAAATCACCTTCACGTATTATACAGTATATAAGGAGTACCATAAGATATTTTTATTAACATTTGATATTATTACACACCAAGTTTAACATGGAGGATTCGAAATGTTTAATGTCAAACTTTGTCTCAACTAATTTGAGAGAACGGCTTGATAAATAAAGGCATGTTTATTTATTATTTGTTTTATTAATTAGTTTGAAATAAATAGAAGTAGGGAAACTTCTTTTTTTAGCAGTAGCAAAGCTCTGCCAAAACAATTACATATAAAAACCGATGTTCATAGTTTGGTTTACTGATATCAATATTTAAATGAAGTATGATAGCATTACTAAGTGACAAATTATCAGTTCACTGAGAGATTATGTGAACACGAGACATCTTCTATATAAATAAAAATAGAGTTTTGTCTGTACATTATTTCTTAGTACGATCTAGGACTTGCCTGAAATATTGTGTTCAACTGTTACGGGCTAGAACTAGCGTAAGATGTGTTGGTGGGATAGAAAAAAGGTAGAAAAATTACAGGGTCACGTGACTTTCTCTCAGTAACACTTTTAAATTGTATTTTAGCTTTTATTATGGTTTAAAACGCAATACCATAGATCCAAAATGTTATAACACACATATTTTTCCTTTGTTCAGTTGAATTAGTGATTAGGGTAGAGGCAGCGTAAAGAAAATGAGCAAAATACAGGGCAGATAGTGGCGTACACAGGGTAGTATTTAAAGGCTAAAAATAGATCGTTTAAGGAGTTTTCTTATCGAATAAATTCCTACTGTGTGTATTGATGTCATTAGCATTGTTTTTCAAACGTGCTATTATCTCACGTCAAAAATGTGCTAGTATAATTAACGACTAGTGTACATGTTGCTCTAAATCAAGCAATTGCAAAGAAGTAAAGTAGTTATTTAAAAACAATTATTAACTTATTTAAAAACGAATAAAAGTAATAATTTCCGATGAGTTTAAAAGACTAAACTCATAGATGGAACGTACCTAACATTTCCATATAATAGCCTAAACATTTCTTGTAAATATTTTACCATTTTTCAAAAGCTGATCTGGTTTTTATAGTGTATTCTACAAATATTTCCCACTTATAGCCACATAGGTAGTCCATGTTGATCTTCGTCAATGATAACGTAGTCAGCATGGTACTACCCATTGTCACCAGTACAAATTTCAGTAATTTTTTTATAGAGATACAATTTTGTTTACAATAGGTACTTAAGAACTGCCTGATTTTCTGCATAACCTCTCTGTCACAATTTTATTTGCCTCAATTGGCATTAATTTGGCTAGTTACTGTTACAACGTAAGTTATATTTACCTGAAAATATGCAGAATTGTAAGGCCTACTGTTGTTCAGATGGGTTTTTGTTTCCCTTGAATGTGAATAATGCGAATCCTTCAATGCAAGTTTTAATAAGGTTTCTTGGATGTAGTCATATTATTTTAAAATCACTTGACTTTTATGAAAACATATATAATGTCCTTGCCGTACCAGTTTAATTCAGCCTTAGAGGGGTTTCCTTTGCAAATCATCATAAAGTTAAGTCCGTGTTTCCTACAAAATAGTAGCACTTCCGATAACATCCTTGTTCATTGTTTGTGGGAATCTTCGTATTGTAGGTGTTCTTCTTTTATATAGGATGATAACGATAATATTTTTAAAAAATCTCGATTTCTGCTACTTGGTGGCGTTCTATGACTTTCCTATGTTTCCTTGGAAAGCAATTACGACCTTTAAGGGCAGTTTATGAAATAATGGATAGTTTTGCGCTAGTTTTCTCGTCATGACGAACATTTTAAGTATATGGTTTATGGGGGTATGACTTGTAGTTTTCACAAAAGTTCATGTGTACTTTGGGCTTTATATTGATAAACTAGTGGCTTGTAGGGACATAAGTCCCTAAAAAGCTCAAATGTAAAACAAACTATTGTAATATTTAAACAAACTCAGAATAAAATTATCTATGTGTCAGAATCGATACAGTGCTACAATACTACATGTACTCATATTAGTACCCTGGCCCAGTTATTATTTCTAATATTATAGCTCTACTCCTTTTGTAAAGGCACAACTGAATTAGTGTAAAGGCTGCCCTATAAGTTATAGTTGATTATAGTTTCGTTTCTGATCAACATAAAATATAAACTACTCTCTGTGTCAGCTTATGTGGTGGTATTCCTCCTAAAGCTGTGGTTGATTTTATACACTCTTTAAAATAGGCCAATTTAAACGTTCAATGGGTTCATAGTTTGTTAAGACCATAGTAAAGTATTTATTTGTTAATCCGTTATAATTTTTAAGTTAATAACACAGCGCTGTCTGATGTTATGATGCAATGTACAGATAGCCGACAGCTAAGCCATATCAGCTA